GGGGGGGGGGGGCGGGGGGGGGGGAGAAGGAAAAGAAGGTCAGGCCAAGGCAGTGGAGCCGTCGCAGCCACTGGCTGCCTGCAGCCCCACACGTGCCGGGCATCGCTGGGTGAAACCGTGACACCAGTCGCACGTGGTAGGCAGGCTTAGTCTCCTGTGGCAGATGGAGAAACGGGAAGTGAGCGCGCGCGCCTTCCCAAGCCGAGCGGGGGACTGGGGGCAGGACTGTCAGAGCCTTTACTCTCAATCCCAGGGAAGCGGTTCCCCAAGGGCACCCCCCCCCACCCCGGCCCCCAGAGGAGGGGTCAGGGCTGCCCCGCTTGTGGAGGTGAAGCCTGAAGCTCAGACGCTGTTGAAGGCAGGTTTCCCCTAAAAGCGGCACCAAATCCAGGCGGCCTTGGCCGTGGGTGACGTGTGGGGAGATAATCTCCCAAGAGGCACAAGGGAGGGGAGAGGGGAGAGGGAGCCAGGGAAGGAGAAAGGCAAGGTGAGATGGGTGTGAGCAGGCTCTGTTCTGCAGGCGGAACACCTCCCAAGGTTGTCGCCCTGGAAGATGGGAGCTGGGACTTCGGTCTGGGGGCTCCTGCCCCCTGCTGGTGGACGGTCACCCCTGGGGTGGTGAATGTCCCCACACTTCTGAGCTGTGCCACCTGGTGGTCTCCCTCGGCTTCAGGGTAGGCCCTGGCGTAGATTGAGGTAAAACATGAGGTCCACCCATGAGTTGCGATGCTGGTGACTGAGAGCAGAGAGGCAGAGGAGCCTGGGGGCGAGGGAGGCAATACTCATGCCGACCATCTCCCTACCCCACTGCAGAGGCCAGCAGGTAAAAAGGACCCCATAGCCAAGTCAATTTGGGGAAAAGAAATCCATTAAGAAGGTTTTGCTGCTTTAGGACTTCCAGGAACCATCAATATGCGAGTATGCACGGTGGCTCTCAGTTATGCAAATGAAGTACAGTCTTTCCCCAAAGATTTCGACCATGGGACTGTTGTTTTGCAAGAGCATCGGTTCTAAGGAACACACTGGAAGCAATGTTTATCCGCTGGGTAAAGTCCAAGCTCCTGAAAACCCTGTGGCCTGGCCCTTAGGAGCCTTCCAGAAGCAGGTGCGGTTTGCTGAGCACACAGCACTCTCTCACACCTCCATACCTTTGTCTGTGTTGGTCTCTTGGCTCAGAACAGGTCCCTCAATTCACACCTGGCTACGTTTGCCATATCAAAGTGTTGCCTAAACGCGCTTAACTTTTGGGAAAAACTTGGTGTCAAACATCTGGATGCCAGTATGTCTGTATCCTTGGCTAGGCTTCTCCGTTTATCTGTGTGAAGTTATCCACTTACAATGTGTGTAGAAAGCAAAACACAACAGAACCTGGATGCGTGGCAAATGTGAGTCAGGCCTATGATGCGCAGAGCGAATGGAAGATTCTGGCCCGGTTGGATCCATTCGCACCCGAAATGGCAGGGTCTGAAGCTGCCTCGAATATGGAAGCCATGATGTTCACTGACGGGACACGCACTCTCATGTCCAACACGTAGAGAAAAGCAACATTACCCACAAGAGCCATGTTATGGGAGAAGTTGAGATGAGGAGAGCAGAAAACACAGGCACCCCAGAAAGGAAGCCAGCAAGGATGGGGATGCTGGGGGTGGGGGCCCGGCTCTCCAGGGGAGGCTGGCAGGTGCAGTGTCATTAGGAGCTCGGTCAAATCAGCCCCTCTTAGAATCGTGGAGACTCCTCCACGGGGAATGCGCTTGTCCTGGAAGGGTCCAGGCTCCACACAACACTAGGATGTTCTCCAACTGGGTAGGAACCTCTGAGTTTGGGCACAAAGTCACTTCCCCTACCTCCTGCCAACACACACACACACACACACACACACGACTTCTGGTCAGCACTTACATAGATCTCTCCAAAGAAGAAAAAGAAGTCAGCTTAACACTTTGCAAAAGACTTGAAAGGAAGGTTAAAAAAAAAAAAAAAAAAAAAAAAAAAAAAAAAAAAAAAAAAAAAAAAAAAAGGGAAGGCAAGCTGGGGTTGCTATGGTCTGAATGTCTGTGTCCTCCCCAAATTCATATGCTGAGATCCTGCCCCCCAGTGAGACGGTCTTAGGAGGTGGGGCCCCTGGGCGGTGATGAGGTTATGAGGGTGGAACCCTCATAAGTGGGATTAGTGCCCTGATAAAAGAGCTTCCTGAGAGCTCCCCACCCTTTCCACGGTGTGAGGACACAGCACGGAGACCAAGAAGAAGTGGACAGCCTGGGACCCAGAAGAGGGACTCGCCCAGAGCCCGGCACCCTGATCTTGGACTTCGGCCTCCAGGACCATGAGAAAGACATGTCTCTTGTTCATAAGCCCCCAGTCTGGGGCGTTGTTCTAGCTGCCTGAATGGACAAAGACAGGGGCAGACAGGGGAGGAGGCCAAAGAAAGAAAGGTTAAAAAAAGTACGAAAAAAAAAATCAGTAACTGCAAAGTTCTCCAAAGTCGTGTGCATGAGCGTGTGCACACACACGTACACCCACGTGCCCTCTCCTTGCATTAAAAGTTCCGAGTCAGAAACAAAACCCTCAGGGATGCAACCTCAGCAGCAGACGGGCAGAAGGAAGAGCAGTTTCAGTCGTGGTCAGGGCGGTGCCACCAGCTGTGGCCGCCAGGCAGCTCACCCTTGGCTGCGTGGACAGAAGTGTGGCACCTAGGACCGAAGAGGGGTCCAGCTCCTCTTCCCTGGGCTGGCCATCCATACCCAAAGGGCTGTGTTCAGTCCTGGGGGTTGCTTTTTAAAAGGGCGGTGAGCATGCTCAGAGAAGAGGTGATGATTCCAAGAACACGTGATACCAGGTGTAGCTGAAGCCATGAAGCACATTTTTCCACTGCTGGAGTGGAGACGAGGAACAGAATGACGGAACTCAATTATCTGAAGACAGTCAGAAGATTTAAGGTGGCATAAATACCTTGGAAGGTGGTGAGCGCCCCGGGACTGGAGGTATGCAAGTAAGTGACCACTTGAAGGCTGCTGTAAAGGGGGCGGGAGCATCCGGCGGGGTGGCACGTTGGACTTAGTGCCTTTGGAGGGCCTTCCGAGCCCTGGCGTTCTATGACCTAGGAATTTGAGACTCCTCCTCCTCCCCGTCCCTGTCGCTATATGATTTTAGTAGGATCTCCAGTTGGGAACATATGGGTCCGTGCTGCACCAACAGGGGTAAACGAAAGTGATCACCTTCTCCGCTGTCAAAACGCCTGCACCCAGAGGGAAAGGTGTCAGTGACATCTCCCCAAAGCAACTTTTGGGTCAAGGCCCAGCAACATGGTAGGGAGGGAGGGCACAGGTGTTAGATTCTTCCAGACCTGGGTGTCAGGATGGAATCTGCTGCTTACTACCCGTTGTGACTGGAAAATGACTCAGCACCGTGAACCTCGGCTTCCCCCTCTGTAAAATGGGCATAACGTGGACCTACAGAAGGAGTTCTCAACCGGCAGTGGCGTCACCCCTCCCCTGCCCACTAAAGCCAGTCTGGAAGGCTGCGGGCAGTTTGGGTTGTCACAGTGACTGGGGGCTACCGAGTTTCGCGACTGGGGATGCCCAACATCCTATAATGAGCTGCTTCTTCACAGCCCCAATGCCAAGAGGGGCCCCCACCCCGACCCACTGAGAATCCCTGCCCTGTCGAGCCGTTAGGGCAAGCCGCGGAGGAAGGAATTCGGCATCCGGACACTGGAGCAGCTCTTCCCCATCGAGGTAGGGTCGGAGGCTCTTCTGGCTTCCAGAATACCACGTGATTTCCCAGGAGAACAGCGGCTGCTTAAAATTCCCTCAGGGAAATGGTGCACCCAAAGCAGGGGACCAGGGGGTCCCCAGGTGACTGGGGGGGTCAGGGCTTACCCAGCATGCACAGGGGCTTCCTGGCAAACTTCAGTCTTCCTCGCCAGCCTTTGTATCGGCAGCAACATCCGGCAGCCCAGATCCTCAAAGCAAACTCGGCTCCAAAGATGAAAATAGCAAATGTTTCCTGCGTTAGGAACATATGGAGAGACACTGATCAACCAGGACCCAGTTGTCTGCAAGGAGCGATTTCTGTTCCGAGGTTCTGGAGAACAGGATTTCTGTTGTTGCCATTTTGGTGGTGGACGGGGGAGGAGAGCACGTTATCACCTCCATTCGGTTTGGGACAGCTCCCGTGTCCACTCTCACGTGCTAACTGTCCCTAATATCAGCCTTGCAAAGTGATCACTTGCTTTCCTCTCTCTGTTTTGGTTCCAACGGACCATTTTTTTTCAAAGTCTCTTTTCTTGTACTACCAGCTCCTTAAGGGCAGTTAAACTGAAGACAGAAGTATCAGTCTACTAATCTCACCCAGTGCCTGGCCCCTGGCATTGCTAATCATGGCCAACGGTTACTAAGCGCGGCTCCTGGGCCAGGCACCGCCTCAAGTGTTCTCTAACATTATCCTCATTACGTTTTGAGAAACCAAGGAGTAAACACATTTCTCCAGACTAGAAAGTGGCAAAGAAGGACTCCTGGACTGGCACTGAGGCTCAGAGCCCACGGGCATAAGCATCACGCTGTGCTCTCTCCCTGGACCCAGGGCCTCCTCCTTCCTTCCCGCCTCCCTTGTTGATCAGACACAGACACCTTTGCCCCCCTCTCTTTGGTGACCTCCTGGGACCCTTGGGGAGTTGTCGCTCCGTGATAATCCCCGAAACTTAGCTCCTGGAGCTAGATGGCTTCCCAGGATGCACCTGCTAAGGTCTCAGCGTGAGACGGTGTGGACTAAAATCACCTGAGAAGGAATTTGCTGAATCTGGTGTCACGAATGACATTCTCAGTGCAAGGTGCAGGTTCTGCCATTTTGTGGACCTTAACTGGGGGGCTGGCATCCCTTTCCTGTGCAGATGGTGAACACAGAGAGAAAACAGGCAGAGGGCCCGGGGGTGGGGGGGAGGACGTGGAGACTTTAATGCACAAATGGGATTTGGTACTTGGCCTTGAAGGGAGTCGGAGATCCTCCGGGTTCAAGGAGAAAAAGCAGAGGCAGGTTGTAAAACAGAGCATGTGTTTGTGTTAGCTTTCAGAAGGTTAGGAAGCTACGGTTTGTAATACAACTAATGTTTGGTTTTTGCTTTGACCTTGTTTGTGCCCTCTCATCTCTAGGATAACAAATGTCATTCCCCTCCACCTGTACCCGTGGCAGACCTGACCAACTGACCCCGGCATTGCTTTCTCTTGGGCCTGGACTTGGTCACAGGCTCCAGGAAGCCAACACCAGTGGTGCCCCAGGGCAGCCCCCTTGCCCTTCACTGTGAAAGTCCGACCAGAGGTGTCTGCCCCGGAACAGCACCATGGCAGGTGCGTGATCTCACCAGTAATAGCAGCCAGTCTCCCGAAACAGTCTCGTACTCCCTGAACGTGGTCAGCACGGCCAGAATCAAGCATCCCAGGACAATCAGGAACCTGGAGGGGAGGAAGGAGGAAACATCTAGTCCTGGCTTGCTCCAGAGGAAGGTGTCAGACAGGATGAAGCTATGACTTCCATCAGACGTTGGCATGCGCTTTCTCTGTTATCCCCCTTAACCTCACAGCAAACCTGGGTGGCAGGTAGGAATTATCATTCAGTGAAAGAAAACAGATCTGAGAAAGTGTAAGCAGTGTGTTCAGCTCTACTTTACCAGCTGGTTAGTGGAACCAGTTGCGGGGGGGCAGGGGGGTGCTGCAGAATTTTTCAGACCAAGTTACCACAAAGCTTTGGCAAAGCAACAGGAATATAAATGAATTAATAATGTCTCTTGAACATATAGGACAATGGTTTTCAAATCTATGAAACATTCTTAGTATAAACAAGTGACAAATTCGTTTCAAAGATTGATAAATTCAGCAAGGGCCTCCGTGATCATGTCTTAGTATTATTCTTTTTACAGACCATAGTTACTAAAGGAAACAACCTCTCTCATTTGGGGACCTTCAGAATTGTTTTTGAAATTACAAAGTGTTCTTCCTAATGGAAAAAAGAGGAGCCACCCCAGTGAATGATGCAGAATGCTGGTCCTGGAAAAGTCACAGAGAGGTCATCTTGTTCATGCGCCTGCCTCAGGCAGGAGCACACTGCAAATAATCCTTTGAAATTATCATCTACATGAATTCAGTGGTGGGGGAGGGTGGGGAGAGGGAGAGTGTGTGCGTGTGTGTGTGCATGCTTCATTGTTTCAGCAAAGAAAAATGGCTCTCCCTCCCCCTTGGTGGAGACTCTCTGGCTCAGTGCTCAGCACCAGGTTCCTTAGGGTCCATGGGTGAGGCTTGGTCCTTCCTCTCTATTCCACTCTGCTGGGTTCCCATCCACGCTTTGGTGGCTTGCTGGTGTATGTGGGTACCCACTTGTGCATTCATTCATTCATTCATTCATTCATTCAATATTTATATGGTAGTCACTGGGGACACAGAGCTAGGCTTCATAGGCTTATGATGAATAAGCTGGATCTGTCCTCCTGAGCCCACAGTCCAGCCAATCAGAAAGCTGTCTCATGCCACGATGGAAAGGACCACGACGTTGGGAGGTTTGGAGACATCTGCTCCTGGCCTTGGCTGGGGACCCGAGTCCTGGCTCTGACCCTTGGTGACCCGGATCACATTTTCCGATCAATTAGCCTGGTGATCGGCAGATCTGAATCGATATTTCCAAGCTTTCCAGGAACCTAAACAAGATTTTTCAACTCCGTCCTGCGTTTGGTCGTTTTATTTCAAACTTACGGTTCTGGACCCATGCCTGGAATCTGCCTACTCTGAATCCCAGATCTTCTCCGGTGGTGATGATGACGGTAACAACATCAGCCCCCACACCACCTGTTAGTGATCACCTACCACTGGCCACTGTCAGCGGCCTTCCTCACAGCCACCTCCCAAGGTAGACATGAACTCCCACTTGAGAGATGAAGAAACTCATCAGAAGGATTCATTACCATCTGGATAATCGTGTTGCCAGTAAAATGACCACAGAGTTTGGAGTTCAAAGACACAGGTTCAAAGGGAAGCTCTGCACTTTCTCTGTGATCTTGAGTAGCTCATTGACCTGTGGAACCTTGGTGATCACATTCAGAGGATGGGAATAACAGATCAGCCTAGAGATCCTGCTGCTGTGAGGGCCACAGGAGACAGTGGATGGGGAGTTATCTGCTCAACTGTACAGGATCACGCAAATGAGGCCTGGTGCTCTCCCGTTCACGCACTTGTCACTGGCTGGTTCCCCAGCAGGCCCTGGGGCACGTGGTCTCGGATGATGCTGCAAATCCACACTCTGGTTCTCTCAAGGCTTTATTTGATTCACTCACAGGCTCTGGAGATAAGCCCTAGGTTAGAATCCCCTTCCTCCTTTATGTGGTGTCATCTTAGGCAAGTTACACAACTTCTCAGTGTCTTGGTTTCCTCATCGATAAAATGAACCCAATAAAGGTGCCCACGTCCTCAACTGTTCAGTGAGATAATCCACGTCAGGTGCCTGGAAGAGTGTCTTCGTTAAATGTTAGCTATTATTTTTATGGTGATTTAACATCAATGTATCGAGTGCCTCTTCTGTCCCAGGCACAGCACTGGTTTTAAAGATACAAACATGCATAAAACCTAGCCCTCCTTTTCAAGGACCTCCCAGTGCAGCGGGAAAACAGAGGACAAACAGTTATAGAGGTTATGATCTGGGTGTCCACCACATGCTTCGGGAGCACAAGACCAAAAGCATCCAAGAAGCGAGGGCCAAGGGGTTGGGAGTATATCTGAGGCTTAGCTAGAGTTGGCTGCATGTCCCAGTTTATCCAGGACATTGCCTATTTTAGGTATGTCGACCCGGAGCATGCCCCCCCGAGGCATCAGGAACAACATGGGCATGTGCAGAGTGCAAATGTTCATGGACACAGAACCCAGTGCAATCTTCTCCTTGAGCAAGAGATGTCGGCCTTTGGTGATCTGACCTTGCTGTCCTCGTAGCCTTATCTTTAGCTGCTTCCCCACTCCCAGGCTAGCTATCCTGAATGAGAGCATTTCCTCAAACTCCCTCAGTGTATGTGTGCCGGTCTCGATGCTCTTCTTCTGTGCCCATCCCCCCCCCCCCCCAGCACCCTTTCATGCCCCTGCCGACGTCTTGGTAGCACCAGTCACGCCTTGCCTCTGGAGGCTTCTATGCCTTCAGCTGCTCTCTGCATGTTCCCCTGTGTGGCCTCTCCCCTGGGGTCCCGGAGCACCCTGCTGCATTTCTATTCCAGGACTGAGCATAAGCCATTATCATTTTGCAATCATTTGTTTTCATTGTATATGAAATAAAACGTATTAAATTAACTACGTCGTGCCGAGTTTGAGGTTCAAGTGGAAATATCCAGCAGGCTGATCAAAATTCAAGCCTAAAGCTCAGGGGAAAGGTTGAGGGTGGAAACCCAAGTTCCTTTCAGCTCTTACAGCCTGTGGTTTTAGAGCCAGCAAAGGGGATCCTTTGGCCTTAACCCGCTGCGGAAAGGCAACGTCAGCCTGACTCCCATCTGCAGGGAGTGTGCAGACCCAGGCTGTAGCCAGCAGGGAGCAGCAAACACCAAGCATTTTCTCAGACCTCAAGGAATTCAAAGCACCTGCAACTTCAGGAAATTACTTTCTGAGATTGGAGAACAACCATTGATAAAGCTAAGAGCATCAAGAAGCCCACCTTAATCGGGGAAGGGGAAGATGCTCTTCGGTATTTCACACTTTTCAACTTACTCTTAAGATATGCACTTGCTTTCAGACACGCAGACCCAATTACCAGTCTCACCATGGAAACCAGATGTCTGTGGTCAGGCACCGTCTTCCCTCCTACTGTTCTGGCTCTCTCACTCCCCCACATCTCACCGATGACTCTTTTACTTCCTCTGTCACTTTTAAAAGTGTGTTATTTTAATTCCAGTGTCTGTAACTCACAGTGTGGTATTAATTTCAGGTGTGCAATAATCTAGTGATTCAACACTTCCCTACATCGTCTGGTGCTCGTCACGACGAGTGTGGCCCTTAATCCCCTTCCCCCATTCCCCCACCCACCTCCCCTCTGGCAACCAGCAGTCTGTTCTCAAGAGTCTATTTTTTGTTGTTGTTTGTCTCTCTTTCCCTCCTTTGTTTGTTTTGTTTCTTAAACCCACACGTGAGTGGCATCATATGGTATTTGTCTTTTTCTGACTGATTTATTTCACTTAGCATAACATCCTCTAGCTCTATTGATGCTGTTGCAAGTGGCAAAAATCTCATTCTTTTTTATGGCTGAATAATATTCCATCACAGGCGCGCGCGCACGCACACACACACACACACACACACACCACATCTTTATCCATTTGTGTACTGATGGACACTTGGGCTGTTTACCTATCTTGGCTATTATAAATAATGCTGCAATAAACACAGGGGTGCATGTATCCCTCTGAATTAGTGGTTTTGTATTTTGGGGGTAACTACCCAGCAGTGTGATTGCTGGATCATATGGTAGTTCTATGTTTAATTAAAAAAAATTTTTTTAAGTGTTTATTTACTTTTGAGAGAGAGAAGACACACACAGCATGAGTCGGGGAGGGGCAGAGAGAGAGAGGGAGACACAGAATCTGAGGCAGGCTCCAGGCTGTCAGCACAGAGCCCAACACTGGGCTCGAACTCACAAACCTCGAGATCATGACCTCAGCTGCAGTCAGACGCTTAACCAACTGAGCCACCCAGGCGCCCCTCAGTTTAATTCTTTGAGGAACCTCCACACTGTTTCCCACAGTGGCTGCACCAGGTTGCATTCCCACCAACAGTGCACAAACCTTCTTTTTTTCCCCACATCTTTGCCAACACTTGTTGCTTCTTGTGTGTGTGTGTGTGTGTGTGTGTGTGTGTGTGTGTGTGTGTGTTTGCGACTCTTGTACTGTCGATATTAGCCACGCCACTGACATCCCTGCTCCGCAGCTGTGACTGTCTCCTTTACCCGACTTTCCCCTGACTTCTCCTCTCCCCTCTCCCTCCTCCCAGGGCCGGCAAGTCGGGCCAGGGCTTGTGGCTGGTGTCTGGGAGAGAGCCAACAGCATCCTCCTGTCTGCGGGGTCCGGCTGTCCTGGCCAGCAAGGCTGGTCATGATCAAGGGTCTCAGACATGCCCTTAAATCAGACACCACCTCCTACATGCTTCCCCCCGAATCCTCTGCATCTTCCAGCCAAGCTGGGCTTGCCGAGGGCGAGAGGGAGGCTGCTTTGGTCCTGCGTGTGCTGTGTCAAGCATAAGGTCCAGAGCTTCCGGTCCGGGCCCCTTAATACCAAACCTCGGTTGGGCCGCAGGGCAAGAGAAAGCGACTGAGGACCCACAGTGGCACCCGGGTTTCCTGCGCCCTCTTCTCAGCCAGGCCTGGCCTCCCTCGCAGGAAAAAAGCTGGGTCCTCTGGGAACAAGACACGAGGCCTAACAGCTAAGTATTCCCCGGCCCCGGCTTCCCTCGCAGCGAGACAAACAGGTGGCGGAACTCCAGAATTTATCTGATAACTTCTTTTGCTCACCATTTTCTCGTTTACTCCTGCGAGGTGGGGTCACTGTCACCGTTATGTTCGCATCCCCACTTTACAGATGAGGAACGGAGCCTCCAGGCCCAGGCAATGGGGTCATGATAGGAGGAGGGGCGGCGCTGCTGGGGGGACCCACCGGCGCTGAGAGCCACCGTGGGGCCTGGAGGGAAAATCTTCGGGAACAGGCAGGGAGGGGGAGGGGGCTGACGGCCCGGCCCTTCTCCTCCGGTCTCCCAGCTTGGGAACAGAGACACTCAGTTGCATTTCCAGGTAGTTCCCTGAGGTCCCAGCTGGCTCCCGCTCCAATTACAGCTGCTCTCGGGCAGCTTCTAGAGCACCTGGAGCTCGGCCAGGGTCCTAGATGGGGGAAAGGCAGCAGCTGACTCTACCGGGCTCTCCTGCTTACGATCCGTGTCTGTCTGCCACAAAGTGGGGACGTGTAGAAACACTCTCCCCGGCCAGGTGGAGGCGGAACTGACTCCTCTAGGGAGCAGGTGTTGCGGGTGCCAGAGTAAGC